GGGTAGTGGGTGGAGGAGGGATAGGTTGTGGGTGGAGGGGGGATAGACAAGGGGATGGATGAGAGGGGTACGGGGAAGGAGAAGCAGATGAGGGATTGAGACAGATCAAAATTGAGGGAGAAAGGAGGAAGTGCAGGAGCTGGGGCACTGGTGCGTGCTTTGAAAAAATGGAACTGATGAGGCTTTTTTGAATGGCAGGGACCATTTGAAGGAGGAGGAGGTGCTCTCACCTCCACCACCCTCTCTCACCCCTCACCATCCTCTCTCATCCCTCACCACACCCTCACCACCCCCTCTCACCTCCACAAGGCTGACGTCCTTGCTGTCTGCCAGGCGCTGGCCCTGTGTGTGACACGCAGGAAGAGGGAGAGAGAGGACGGGAGGGAGTGAGATGGGGAAGCAAAGCGCGAATCTGCCATAAACATTTTTGGGTCACACAATGCATGCATTGACTCAGTGCAAGCATCTCGCATCAACCTACTCCTCACATGCCACATCGACCCAGTACAAGCACATCTCACATGGATCCACTATAAGCACAGCTCACATCGATCCACTCCATGATGAGCACGCGGCGAGTGGTGAGCTCGGGATACATGCGCGGCACCACCACCCTGTCTATCCGCCCAAACAGCTCACTGAGGGGATGGGTATGGGGGGATGGGTGTGTGGGGGTGAGCTCTAGTGAGAGCATGCAGTCAGTGCGAGTGGTGAGCTCCGGATACATGCACGGCACCACCACCCTGTCTATCCGCCCAAACAGCTCGCTGAGGGGATGGGTATGGGGGGATGGGTGTGTGGGGGTGAGCTCTAGTGAGAGCATGCAGTCAGTGCGAGTGGTGAGCTCCGGATACATGCACGGCACCACCACCCTCTCTATTTGCCCAAACAGCTCGCTGGGAGGATGGGTGTGGGGGGGGTGTGGAGTGGGGAGCGGATGAGAAGAAATTTGCAAAAAGCACAAAATAAGCTGATCCGGGAGCACACAAAGATTGCAAGCCTACACTCCCTCACATGGAGTGGTGAGGCCACGGCACATACAGACACTACTACATGAGGTGAGAGAATTCAGTGGGTGAGAACATGGGATGAGTGAGATGAGACTTACGCGAATTTAATTCCGTTTTGTGCCTCCTGCTCGTAGTCCATCTCCTGCAATTACAGCCCAGCACAGCAGTGAGCAGAGCAAATCAGGGCAAATCAGGGCACGGGAAAGTGAGGACCGACTTTTGAGACGTCTCAAAAGTGATCAGAGCAAATCAGCGCAAATCAGGGCACGGGAAAGTGCGAACCGGCATGGCTTGCTTGCTTGCCGTATGAGAATTCAGAGCTTGTGAGTCGAGTGCCTTGCCTCAACCTCTGTCAGATGGAAATCAAATACATTCATACCACACCCCACCACACCACACCACACCACACCCCACCACACCACACCGCAGCCATACCCTGAAGAGGCTCGTAGCCCACTCGTCCACCACTGCTTGAAGGTCTGTGTTTAACTTGCGGTACTGCCTTAACCAGCCGGCAAAGAGGCGCAGAATGAAGATGTCCAGCGCAATGGCTGCCCGCACTCCCGGGCGCTGCACCTTCACGGCCACCCGCTGCCCCCCCGCCCTCAGCCTCGCCTCGTACACCTGGGAGGGGGGGAGAACGAGGGGAGGCCCAATGGGAGAAGGCAGGACCGCACACGTGGGGGGAGTGGGGAAGGGAAGAAAAAGGTGAGCATCAAGTAGGGGAAAAGAGAGGGGGGGGATGAGAGAGAGGTGGAGTGGAGGCCGTGAGGAGCTTTGAGCAGTCACCGCCAGGGGCAAGGGGAGGAGTCAGCAGCAAGCGGGGCGGGACTCAGCTGAGGGAAGGCACAGCACAAGGAGCATACGTACCCAGTTTAGTCATTATCCCGCCCCAGACCTTCCTTTCTCAGTCCCTACCTGCAACAACCTCTACCTACCCCAGTCACCACCTGCCCAAGTCACCACCTGCCCAAGTCACCACCTGCCCCGATCACTACCTGCCCTAATCACCACCCCCCCCAGTCCCCACCTGTCCCAGCGAAGCAGCAGCAACAGGGGAGGGCGAGATCTGGTCGAAGAGCAGGTCGACTGGCACGCCCAGCTCCGCCTCGATGAGGTCTAGTGCCGTGCGCGTGGGGAAGGGCGCTATGCGGTCCTGCAGGAGTGACAACTCGTCCACGTACTCTGGTGGGATCACGTCCTGATTGGAGGGGAGGGTGGGCGGGTGAGGGGGCAGTAGGGGAGTTGAGTGTGGGAGGGAGGGTGATTGTGCGCTCAAGGAGTATGTGGCTGCGAGGTGCAATGCATCAAGGACGGGCGCTCTGCGGTCCTGCAGTAGTGAGAGCTCGACCACGTAGTCTGGAGGGATCGTGTTCTCATACAGGGGAGTAGAGTGAGACGGATGGGGACAGTGACGCGTTGGGCGGGCCGGGGATTGGGGCGGGGGGGGGGGGGGAGTGGCATGCTGGAATGGGTTGACGTGGCGCCTTGAAGGACATGACACGTGGCATGCATGACACATGGCATGGCACAAGGCATGCTCAGAAGAGGCGGACTACGCACAAATGGATGGCATGCACGGCACTTGAACGATGGATAGTTGACGGAACAGCTGATGCTGTGTGCGCAAGCATACATGCACACATCACACATGCATGCGGCATGACGCATGTCGCAGGCATGGGCACGTGGGCACATGGGCATCCCAGGAGAAGGACACATACCGGGCGAGAGGAGACAGCCTGGGCGATTTTCACAAAGGCCTGGGGGGTGGGTGCACAGGGGGTGAGGGTGGCGGTGGTCGGGTAGGGGAGATCGGCACATGAAAAGCAGGGAGGTAGGAGAGAGTGAGTGAGAGTGAGTGATAACAGAGTGGGGCGGGTGGATGGCTGAATGGGAGATGAAGAAAGGCATGCTAGCACGCAGGCAGGCAGGCAGGCAGGCATGGAGGGGGGGAGGGAGGGAGGGAGGGCGCCAGAATAACGGAATGTCGCCTGGAAACTGAATGTGTGATTGTGCTTTCACACCCATCTGCAATTGCACACCCTGAGAACTGAAACTGCGCCTTGGCCCCCTCTTCCCTCGACCAGCGGCACCACTTAAAGCCCCTTACCCCCCCCATCTCACCGGCCCCAGCAGCACGAGCGCCTGGCGCAGCTCCCCTGCGCGCTCCTGGAAGGTCTCCTCCGCGCGCCCCAGCTTCGCGTCCGCCCACCGCTTCCCCGCCCACCCGCCCATCACCGCGCCGATCTGCGCCAGCCGCCGCGCCACCAGCAGCGGGCGCGCGCGGAAGTACTCCGCCATGGCGCGCGCATCGTACTCCGCCCACTCGTCCCCCCCCGGCCCCGCGGCCCGCGCAATGTAGCCGGAGTAGCGCGAGAAGGAGTCCTGCTCCTGTAGATACTCCAGCGACGAGTCGTATCCGCGTGACGAATCGTTTATATCGCGTACAACGCTGGTGATCTCTTCGGTTCTGCTGCTGCTGCTACTGCTCCCGCGGTTTTGCGACCAATTGGAGCCGGACACGCGGCGGTCGGGGAGGGATTGACCGGGGGCGGTGGACTCTTGGGACGGCGAGGTTGTAGCGGCGGCTACAGTCACGCGACCGACACGCAGCGCGGGTAAGCGGGAAATGCTGAGAAATTTCGGATACTTTTGCCGGGCATTACAGCGAGAGCGTGCGGAATTGGCTGAACCTGGACCGCTTCTCGAGATGCAACGTGGCGCGAGGAGCAAGGTCGGAGAGCGGAGACCCCTGGTCGCGACGACAGCCATAGCGACAAACACTAACGACCTTTACTCTCTGCACATACGATGTGTGTGACTCAAAACAGGGTAGCTGGCATGTACTTCTCCCCTCGAAACAGCACCAAATTAGTGTAATGATGGTGGTCTGGCTGGACTCTGGAGTAACACGTGGCGCGCAGACGAAAATTCACGTGGCCAGGAACCAAAGAAGTGGGAGTGCGTCTTGGAGCAATCAGCACATTGACTGACGCGATAAGAAGTTTGTCAGCAACTGGATGCACCGTGTTTAAAAAAATAAGCACACGTCCCGAGAACCGCGCTCCTTGAGAAGAAAAAACAAGAACCATGAACAAAGTGGGTCATTCCGTAACAGAAAACCCGAAACCATCTGTATAATAAAAATATAAAATATACAAGTAAACGACAAAAAACAATGGAGAACACGTATAGTTCCTTATAGAGAAATACAATGTGGGAAGTTCGGAATCCCTGACAAACGAATTAGAAGAGGAGAAATTTGGGCGCTCTGTCATTCCCTCCAAAAGTCCAGGTTCGGTTTCTCGGGCCTACTACTTCGCTCATCCGCCCTGCTAATCTTCTCTTTTCAGCCCACTTAGATCCTTTTCCCAAGCCAGCCGGCCCACAAAATCGCGAACCGCGTCACACCTGACAGGTTTGGATTCCAGTTTTACAGAAGAATCTGCCACAGGGCAAACCGAGCAGCAGGGGCTAGTAAACGACGTGAGGTTGCCCGTCCCCATGAAAGGGACGGCGTCGCGCGGGTGATAGGCAGATGTATGTGAGTTCAGAACAACGTCATTGGTCCGTGCTGAGCCGGCAAAGTTCCAGCCGCACTGTGAACGGCCAGATGTCGCTGATGCGATTGTGGGGCATCCTCGTGTTTCATCCGCAGGTTCGGATGGAATCCCAAGGTTGAGAAGAGCTCCCCGTCTCAGTAATCTCTCGATAGTTCCGACGCTCTAAGCCAAGCCTCCGTCAACCCCGCGCAACCGCCGGAATGCCGCCGAGCCGAGCCGAGCTCCATTGGGGAAACCCCGCATGCGAGAACGAGCAACCCAAGCCCACCCCTCATACTTATTACCTCCTTGCTGGACCTTCCTAGTAACAGGTATTCATCTTATTTCGAGCTTTGTTCAGGGCTCATCACTCTCGCGTCCTGTGTGGATTTGAGCTCATAGGGCACCTTTTGAGACGTCTCAGAAGTTGACCTCATAGGGCGCCATGGCGACCACTTCGGCGGCCGTCCTCCCATCAGGGGCCTTCCTCACCCGAGGGTCGGAGATCCAGAGAATTCCCGTGCGCGCTGCTGCCGGAGCCATATCCTCCAAACTCCGAGCCTCCCCGAGATTGCCCGCCCTGTCGACTCCATTCATCCGATCCCTCAAACCCGCTGCGGCTCCGACCGTCGGTCTGCAGTCCAAAAGGCGACAAATCTCATGCGCCGTCGCGGCGGAACCTCCTCCCAAGTAACCCGCGGCGACAGATCCGCCACCGTATGAGCCGGTGCACGTGCCGTTCTCGGACGTGCTGGTGCAGCAGAAGCGGCCGTATTTCTTCAACCGGGACTACACGGCGAGGGACTGGAACTACCTCGTCAACTTGAGCTTGTACCATGGCCTGTGCCTCTTCGCTCCAGCCACCTTCTCCTGGGAAAACTTCGGCCTCTTCCTCAGCCTCTACGTCGTCACAGGTGCGTTTTTTCTTCGCTTCCGAACCTTCTTTTCTCTTCTTCTTCTTCTTCCGCAACCGTGAATTAGCGATTGTAATCGAGCGTTTGATGCTCATCTTCTTTACATTTCATTTGATGCTCTACCTTTCAGGGCTGTTTGGGGTCACCCTGTCATACCACCGCAATCTGGCGCATCGTTCGTTCACGCTTCCCAAGTGGCTCGAGTACACTTTCGCCTACCTCGGGGTTCTCGCCATTCAGGTGCGCCGCCGTTTCTCGTTGCTCGCTTCTCCTTGCTCCTGCTCGTCGATCGCTGTGATTGCTTGTTCTCTCAGCTGATTTCCTTTTCCTGTGACGCGCAGTGAGTTCTTTTAAACTTACTCTCTCCCGTAACGCGCATTCTGTTTCCCCGCACAAACAACCACTTTTTCTGTTTCCTCTCCGTCGCGCCCTACAGGGCCACCCCAAGGAGTGGGTGAGCGCGCACCGCTACCACCATCGCTTCGTCGACACGCCCGGCGACCCGCACTCGCCATGCGATGGCTTCTGGCACAGCCACATGGGGTGGGTTTTCGACGAAGTCTTCACGCAACAGCGGGTAAGATAAATGTCAAGTGCGCTGCTTTCCTGCCTCGTAGCTCACCTTTGCATGCTACCGCACGATCAATGTGGAAGCAGTTCAGCCTGGAACGGAAAATGGACGTTATTTTGTAACAGCATTTACGAGTGAGGGACTGACTCCTTACCGCGTGTTGTCCACCAAACTCAACCTTTTTTCTGCACTGTACCGTACTGTACCACGTAAAACCACAGGTGGGCGTGCGCGACAACATCGCGGACATGGAGAACGACCCCTTTTACGATTTCATCGAGGCCACCTACCACTGGCACACCGTCGGCTCCGTGGCGCTGCTCTACGCCCTCGGAGGCTTCCCCTGGGTCGTCTGGGGCTTCGTACGTGCTCCCTCGCTTGCGCAACTTTCGCTCAATTCTGTGTATTCTGGATGCTTTCAGCCATTGCTGCGCCTCTCAAAACCGAACTGCAGACAATTCATGATAAAAATGCCGCGGTCGGGGTAACGACAGCTGTGCGTTTCACTCTATTGTTTATTCCATGTCCGTCTGTCTGTCTCAGGGCATGCGCTCTGTGGTGGTGCTGCACATCACGGGGCTAGTCAACTCAGCGGGACACGTGTGGGGCTATCAATCCTGGAACACCGGCGACCTTTCACGCAACAACTGGTGAGCCCTTGCCAAGTCCTTTCCGTCCCTTCAACCCCCTCCCCTCCCCTTTTCCCCCCCTTCTTGGTCCCCCACACGCTCCCTTCGGAAGTGGCCTGTGGATGTAGGTGTCAGAACTTGTTGTGGCACCTACATCCACATTGTGGCACCTACATCCACAGGCACTTGGGTTGAGATCTTGAGATCTATGTGAGCCAGCCTCTTCGGTTGCACAATGGGTCCAAGACTGTGTTTCAGGTGTCTTTGGCCAGAGTGTGTCCACTCCTGGCCTGAAGCATGCTATCTGCAGGTAGTTTAGTCAGTTTTGGGTGAGGATCAGAGCTGTCAGGTTCAGTGAGGTGAGATTGAGCAGAGAACCACTGGGCTCAGTGGGAAGCTCAGAAGGCATCATGTCGCGAGCCAGATTGGATGGCACATGCACGCCTGGTAGCAGTTGCACGGGCTCGTCGCCTTGCGCTCTCTTCCCTACTTCCTGTTGGCTCACCTTTCTTCTCTGCTACACTTCCCTCCCTCCCATGCCACCGTATCTGTCAATGCAGGTGGGTGGGGCTGCTGGCGTTTGGCGAGGGGTGGCACAACAACCACCACGCGTTCCAGTACTCGTGCCGGCATGGGCTGGACGCGCACGAGGTGGACGTGACGTGGTACATCATAAAGCTGCTCGAGGCTGCAGGGCTGGCCACCAACCTCAAGTACCCCCATCAGAAGGACATTAAGCGCCTCTCCCTCCCGGAACAGCCAGTTTCTCAGCAGTAGCTGCGCCGTAGTCTCTACAACCACTCTTCTCAAGCAGTCCTTGTCTTGTCTCCCTCTCTACCATCCTCCCAGCCCTTCTCCTCTCTCGTGTCCCAGTCTCGCGTGGACCGGCTGGTTTAGGAGCATAGATTTGGGATGGCTGCTTTGAAAGTATTCTCTGCTGGAATGGGCGCATACCTGACGTGTCTTTATGTTAAAACGCATGCACATCCTTAGCCCCAGGCTGGAGGCAGTATTGTATAGAGAGTTTTCGGCATACCGTGCGTGATTGTAATTCATCTTTCAGGGTTTTGCTACCTTGACTTCGCCTTGCTTGTAGGCACAACCTATTCATGTTGCGGTATACTTACAGAACTTGTTCCAGAAGAACCTGTTTGTGAGAATGCAAAGCAGAAGCAGAAGTGAACTGTGGAAGCAGAGATACGGTACACAAGGTGCTGACCCAAAGCAGATGGAGCTAAGAGGATTGAAGGAGAGGAGAAAGAGGCAGGAGAGGTGGAAGGTGCGGTCTTGACTGCACATGCTTGCGAGAGAGCACGAGGGCAACGGCTCCTAGCCTAGTATGCCAAGGGGTGTTAATGCCTTAGAGTGAAGAAGGAAAAAAATAAATTGCGAGTGCTGGTTGCAGAAAAATGCGCGGTACAAGAGGAAAGTGGCTCTGAATACCAAGTGCTACGATTGTAGACTGGTATTTTGCCCTGCCAGACTGTTGTTACCGTACCGTATAGGTATTCTCAGACAGCTTGACAGTTTATCATTGCGCCCACGCTAATCCAGGTCATAAGCTTTCGCTGAACAACACATACCCTGCATATAACGCCTTCTACATGGCACCCTTCATACTCCAGGACCACAGTTACACTCTTGAAATCCTTCACACAACTAGCATGGAAATCGTACCGCACCACACCGAATCGCACCGCATGTGCAGCAGCTGAGTCTCTTGCAGAGAGGCTGATGGGCAGTGCAGTGCGTCAGTGTGACAGTGTGCCTTGTGTGGCGCCTCAAAAGCGGGCAGCGTGACAGTGTGACACAACAGTGTGAGGCAGATTCCACACGGCAGCATCAGTGGTGATTGCCCACGGCCTGCGCTGCCTCCCCTTGCACCTGCTCCGCAGCACTGCCTTCCCCCTGCCCCTCCGTGTGCACGCGCACATACCCCACCGGCGGGCACCTCAGATACGTCACCTCCGCCTTGCTGTTGCCCAGGAACAGCCGCGCCTGGGGGAAGAGTGAGAGGGACAGAGCAATGCAGGGAGGACGGAACGGGGAGTTGAGACAGGCAATGATGTTTATGGCGTGGATGACGCCGTGTGAATGAGGCGTAGATGGACATTGCAGAGGCACGTGCAGCGGTATGGGTATGGGTATGGGTATGGGTATGGGTATGGGTATGGGGATGGGTATGGGTATGGGTATGGGTATGGGTATGGGTATGGGTATGGGTATGGGTATGGGTATGGGTATGGGTATGGGTATGGGTATGGGTATGGATATGGATATGGGTATGGGTATGGGTATGGGTACAGGTACGGATATGGGTATGTGCATGCGCAGGAGCATGGGCAGGAGCATGGGCAGGAGCACGGGCAGGAGCATGGGCAGGAGCATGGGCAGGAGCATGGGCAGGAGCATGGGCAGGAGCATGAGCAGGAGCATGGGTAGGTGCATGGGCAGGAGCATGGGCAGGAGCATGGGTAGGTGCATGGGCAGGAGCATGGGCAGGAGCATGGGCAGGAGCATGGGCAGGAGCATGGGCAGGAGCATGGGCAGGAGCATGGGCAGGAGCATGGGCAGGAGCATGGGCAGGAGCATGGGTAGGAGCATGGGTAGGTGCATGGGCGTGGTGTCACTTGGTCCACTATATGCTGTCTGCCATCTCCCACCACGTTGACTTTTGAGTCAACTCAAAAGTCAACCTTTCCTACACATAGGCCTATTCTCGCTTGGAGTTTACCAAAAGGAGTTGGTAATCACCTGGTCCACTGCGTCCTATATGCTGTCTCCCATCTCCCAGCTCATTGACTTTTGAGTTGACTCAAAAGTCAACCTTTTGTGCCAGTGGGTAATCACCTGGTCCACTGCGTCCTGTATGCTGTCCGCCATCTCCCAGCGCAGCACAGCCGGCCCCCGCGGGTCCACAGCACCCACCACATACACCTTGCCCACCTGCCCAGGCGCAAGGGGGAAGGCGGAGTGGGAGAAGGGGAGAATGGGGGAAACAGAGGGGCGGCAAAGGTGCGCGAACAAGAGAGGCTACGACAGCATGAGCATGAGCAGAAGCGCCAACAATGCCACCAGACATCGTACTGTATGGTCACATGCCCAGCACCCCATGACCCACGTTCCCCACACCCCCCACAGCACGCACCTTATCCATGCCGTGAGCGGCCCACGTGTACATGTAGAACCCGTGCACGGTAGCGGGCCCCAGGCCCAGGCGGCTGGCGGTAGATGTCATTCAGCTGCTCGTCCTGCACAAACCATACATACCCCACGCCAGACACCCACAGCACGCACCTTATCCATGCCGTGAGCGGCCCACGTGTACATGTAAAAGCCGTGCACGGCAGCAGGCCCCAGGCCCTGGCGGTAGATGTCATTCAGGTGCTCGTCCTGCACGAACTGCTGCTGGAAGCGCTCAAACTCGTCCAGCCCTGGAGCCACTGCCAGCACCTCCTCAAAGAGCCGCCGGTACGCGTCGTGCGCCGGCGATGACCACTCGTAGTTCATCTCGTTCACCATTATCTGTGGTGAGGGGGAGTGGAGTGGAGTGGATGAATGCAGGGACAGGACGGATGTCTGCAGATGAGAGGTGTCGCAGGCAGGTGCAGTGATGTGAGCATGGGCACCCTGTGAGTGCGCTCCTCCAATCGAACATGCATGGCACGGCATGTCATCACATGGTACGCGTGGCGTGTCATGGCATCATGGCATGACGTAGCGTAGCATGGCATGTGATTTCATGGCACGGTCTCTCACCACACAGCCGCCCTCCTTGAGTAGAGGCACGCCGTCCACATACCTGGGGGAGAGAGGAGGGGGAGAAGGAGGGGTGGGAGATTGGGGGGAGTTGCACGGGGCGGGAGGGAAGGAGCACTAGTGGGGTAAGGAAGGTGGAAAAGAAGTGGAGGGAATATCTGTGAAACAAGCAGCCATAAGTTGGCATGCAATGGCAGGTAACAACACAGTTGTGTGGAGGCATGGGGCTGAGCATACAGCATGTACTCCCGTGAGGTATGATGAGTGTGCGCAGTGGTGCGACTCACATGTTGTAATAGTATCCCAGTGCGCATGTGTTTAGTTTTGAGTTGACTCAAAACTCGACTCACATGTTGTAATAGTATCCCAGCGCGTATGTGTTCACCTGCATGGGTTCATACAACCATGGGGCACGCGGGGCGGTTAGAGTGCGGAGCGACTGAGAAGAGCATGGATGGGGACGGATGAGAAGAGCATGGATGGGGACGGATGAGAAGAGCATGGATGGGGACGGATGAGAAGAGCATGGATGGGGACGGATGATGGGAGCAGCACAGCACACAGCATGCGCAGGCATAGCAAGACATGGCAAGGAAAACAAGGGGTGAATGGGTTGCGTGAACACACACGGGCATGCGCCTGTGCAGTTGCCCATGCATCCACAGCACCTTGATCAAGCTTCATACGAGGGTCAGCAGCACAGAAGCTTGATCAACGCACTGAAGAGAGCGTATCCGAGCCGCACAGGGCGCTTGAGCCGGGAGAGTGCATTGCGGTGCGACGTGGTTCGGTGCGGTGCAGTGAAGCACGTGTAGAAGGGTATACGCACGAGGAGGGGGTTGAGGTACATGTCTTTGGTGTAGGGCCTCAACGCACTGAGCTTTGAGTCGACTAGAAAAACATGGGTCATTGTGAGTCGACTCAGAACACGGCTGATTTCATACGCACGAGGAGGGGGTTGAGGAACATGTCTTTGGTGTACGGCCCCAACGCACTGGGCGCCAGAATGAGGATGTCCGCCTGGGGGCAGCAGGGCAGCGCAGCAGGGCAGCAGGGCAGCGCAGCAGGGCAGCAGGGCAGCGCAGCAGGGCAGCAGGGCACGCGGTCAGGTGGGGAGAGAAGGAAGTAAGGGCAATGCAGAAGGGTCTGCATGGAACACCAAGGGTCTGCATGGAACACCAAGGGTGTCTATGACTCTATGGTAATGGGAAGAGAAGGTCAACGGCAAGGCAGACCAAGCCCAACATACGATAAATGGAATAGTGTTTCAGAAGCACGTTAAGGCTTGACATGCTGCTTACAGTCAGTCTAGCCCTCTCTAAAAAAAATGCTCAACACAACTCGGCTCTTTCATGCTTCTGTCTCTTGGGACAAAGTCATGGGCCCTCTTGGGTGGGTGGGACCCCCTGCTCTCAGCTCACCTGCCCTTGCACGTCCATGACCTTGTCCCGGTATATGGTGGCCAGTGTCCTCTCATGCACCGCCTGGGTCTCCCCTGCTGTCACCTGCACCACCGCCCCACACCGCACCGCACCGCACCGCACGAATTAGGATTGCGACGCCGCACAGCATTAGCTCCACTGCTCGCCAGCAAAACAACTCAGCTTTTGCCACACTGGAATGCCAAGCTGTGAGACAAGGAGAAATTGTGATTACCCCCCCTCCTCCCCTTCCCCTTCCCCTTCCCCTTCCCCTTCCCCTCCCCTCCCCCGCCCTGCCGTACCTGCAGCAGGCCGAACGGGGCTCGCATGAACCAGAAAACCTTGACGCATAGCCACAGCGGCAACAGCTGGTGCATGCCAGGGGAGAGAGCGAGAGAGACAGGGGAGGGGCGAGGAAAGGAGGGGGTGAGGAAAAAAGCACACAAGGGAAGAGACAAGGAAATTCAGGCTGAGGAAAGGTGTGCTGGCTCTCCGTTTGCTCAAGCCTCACCTCTTGCTCAAGCCTCACCTCTTGCTCAAGCCTCACCTCTTGCTCAAGCCTCACCTCTTGCTCAAGCCTCACCTCTTGCTCACCTTCCTCCCCTTTCGTACCTTCCTCCCCTTTCGTACCTTCCTCCCCTTTCGTACCTTCCTCACATCCTCGCTCCCCCCCCCCTCCTCTGGCCCACCTTGAGCAGCAGAATGGTGGAGTGCATGAAGAGCTTATGCAGCGGACTCTTGTTGCGCACTAGCTCCGACACAAACTCAGCGCAGAACGGGAACATAGGGGCGGCGGTGGTGGCACTGCTGGTGCTGGTGGCAACTCCCCTCTCCACTTCTCACTCCCTGGACCCACCTTGAGCAGCAGCAGCGTGGAGGCCGCACCTTGAGCAGCAGAATGGTGGAGTGCATAAAGAGCTTCTGCAGCGGGCTCATGTTGCGCACTAGCTCTGACACAAAGCCCACGTAGAACGGGAACAGCTGCAGCGGGAGGGGACAAGGAGCGGTGGAGGGTGGGGGAATGGGGAGGGGGGGTGCAGGGAAGCTGGAGCATGGTGCAGGGAAGCTGGAGCATGGTGCAGGGAAGCTGGAGCATGGTGCAGGGAAGCTGGAGCATGGCGCAGGGAAGCTGGAGCATGGTGCAGGGAAGCTGGAGCATGGCGCAGGGAAGCTGGAGCATGGTGCAGGGAAGCTGGAGCATGGCGCAGGGAAGCTGGAGCATGGTGCAGGGAAGCTGGAGCATGGTGCAGGGAAGCTGGAGCATGGTGCAGGGAAGCTGGAGCATGGCGCAGGGAAGCTGGAGCATGGTGCAGGGAAGCTGGGGCATGGTGCAGGGAAGCTGGAGCATGGTGCAGGGAAGCTGGAGCATGGCGCAGGGAGGCTGACGGGCAGGTAGGCATCATCGCCCACGTGCTCATGCTGGCGTCCAGGCATGCAGGCATGTGGATATGGGGGCATGGGGGCATGGGGGCATGGGGGCATGTGGGAATGGAAGCAAGTGGGCGTGCAGGCATGCGGCATGGGATGGCACACCTGGTCGTCAACGACAGTCTCGACATGGAAGACGTCGGTGTGCTTCTGCATCATGCGCCCGATGCGGTGGAACGACCTGTGCAGCGCACTGCGCGCCGGGTCAAACAGCGACCTGCCAGCCAGCCATGTGCACACAGCGCACAGATGAGGACTCAGCAGCATGCAAGCTGTTGCCCATGGCTGGAATGCCCGACTAGAGCCACACGGCATGGGAGACGTTGGTGTTGAATTGTAACAATACACAGGTGTTGGTGTTGCCCCCCCCCCTCAGGTCAAGGCATGCCTGGTGTTGCCCCCCCCTTCAGGTCAAGGCATGCCTGGTGTTGCGCAGTGTGTTGGAGTCGTGGTTGTGGCGCAGACAGTTGTAATGCACCTGCATGCACGCATACACATGTTCACATATGAATGCACACACACATGCACACGCACACGCATACACACGTGCGCGGGCACGCGCGCGCACACACACACATACAGAAACAAACCAGGTAACCACATATCCACACACGCACAAGTCACAGAACACAAACTTAACGCACAGTGCCAGTGCACGAAAGCGGCTCTTTCAATACACACCCACAAAACAACCCAGGACTCTCCGAACATACCCATCACCACCCTCCCTCTCTCCATCCCCTCACTCCCTCCACCTCCCACTCGGCCCATCTCTCCATGCGCCCAGCTCAGCAGCCCAACCCACCCGCCCAGCTTTCAGCGCAACTCAGCCAGGCCAGGTGTGAGCGCAACAAGAGCTTACGAGGCCAGTGGCGTAGGACTTGTACCCGCCGTCCATGCTCACGTAGTTCACATTCGCATACACCACCAGATCCGCCTCCGCAAAGTGCCGGTTGATCTGCCATGCCACGTCATTCCGCCGTGCCGCAGTGCCATGCCACAGCACAGCACAGCGCAGGGGTAGGGACAAAGAGAAGAGTGCGGCAACAGCAGCGGATGGATAACAAGTACTGACGAGAACGCTGCATGAACTGCTGTGGGCCTGTGGCCATGGAAATGCAAGCTTCGCAGCCCACAACACCGACCCTTCACACCATCCCTCCACTCTCCCACCTCCCGCACACCACCCCCTCCCTCTCCCCCCCCATCTCCCCTCACCTGAACAGCCTCCCCGTGTGGTGTCACACCGATGTCCACAGTCTCGTGCATATCCACGGCATTGTAATTCCATTCCTCTTTTGACACGTCTAGAAACTTTTGAGATGAGATGTCTTAAATTCCTCTTTTGAGACGTCTCAGAAGTCCCCTCACCTGAACAGCCTCCCCGTGCCGTGTGACACCGATGTCCACAGTCTCGTGCATATCAACAGCGTTGTAATTCCCCATGCGCTGCGGGTAGTACTTGCCGTACAGGTACCCCCCGCAGATGTGCCGGAACTCGTCCGGGCGAACGAAGCGGTGCAGAGCGATGGAGCACACGAAGCGGATGTCTGTGATGCCCGCCGCCACGCAGTCCCTCTCCGCCTCCTCCAAGATCAGTTGCCGTAAGTCCGGGCGGCGCATGGGCGGCAGCGGCACGCTCACATCGTCAAACGCCATCAGGATCTGCCCAAGATCCAAGGGGGCGACCCAAGATCCAAGGGGGCGACCCAAGATCCAAGGGGGCGACCCAAGATCCAAGGGGGCGACCCAAGGGGGCGACCCAAGATCCAAGGGGGCAACCCAAGATCCAAGGGGTGAGAGTGGGGGAGGGGGGGATGGGGAGGTTGAGGGAAGGATTAGCCACTTGAAATGAGTGTATTTTTAAGACCGCCAGGGTGAGGGGGGGAGGGGAGGGGGGAGGGGGTGTGGGGAGGTTGAGGGGAGGATGAGTCCGGGAGAGAGGGGAGGGACGGTGGAGGAGGTGGGGGATGGTTGGGATGGGGATGTGGGGCGTTGTGCATGGGTGACATGACATGAGCGCCTAGTGCAGGGAGGCGTTGGAGATGGAGAGGTTAGGGAGTGCCATTGGGAGTGGAAAGAAGAACGGAGCTGCCCTGCCAGCCAGAAAAGGCACCTGGGAAAGGCACCTGGAAAAGGCACCTGGAAAAGGCACCTGGAAAAGGCACCTGGAAAAGGCACCTGGAAAAGGCACCTGGAAAAGAGGGCAATCGAGACAATGGATTGCAGTAGCAACAGCAGCGGCAGCGGCAGCAGCAGCAACAGCAGCAACAGCAGCAGCAGCAGCAACAGCAGCAGCAGCAGCGGCGGCGGCGGCAGCAGCAGCGGCGGCGGCGGCAGCAGCAGCGCACCTTGGGGTTGGGATTGGCGTGCTTGATTTGCTGAAGTCTTTCCTTTAGCGGCGGCTGCCCCACAGGGTTGTCCAGAGCGTGCCGTATCATGGCTCGCATCTGCTCTGACGTGCACGTGGCCGTGCATGCCCATGTGCGCACGTGACAAAGAAGGGGGAAGTGGGGAGAAAAGGGGGAAAGGAGGGGGGCAGAGTTGGAAGGCCAGCAAAGGAGAAGAGATGGGGAGGGGCGAAGCAGGGGCGGTTGGGAAGGCGGCAGGCATGCGGCAGGAAGCGATTAGAGCGGATGTGAGACGTGGCAGGTGGATAGAGGGACAGCAGAGCACAGCGCATGATCAGACATTCCAGCGAGCTGCAGGAGCAGGACAAGTGGATCCGTTTGGAGAAATCTCAAAAGTGACTCCCATGAGCGAGTGACAACTCGATCGGAAACAAATTGCGAGGAACCCATTGCAGGATGCATGTTGTGTGTGTGTGTGCGGGTGCACGAGAGGGAGGGAGTGCAATGCGTGAGGCGTGGTGTGGCACTGGCCTTGTTGGGGTTGGATTCGCCATCCTTGCACAGTCCAGGGTACACCACTCTTGTACCCTCGGGTAACTCCATCAGCTCCATCCTCTCGCCCGTTTGTAACAGAAATTTCTCACCCTGCGAGTCACGTAATGCCCATTTAACGTCATGCCACGTCAATGCCATGCCATACCCACGCCACGCCACATCACGTCACACGGCACAACAAGGCAATGGATGGCACGCAGCAACAGAACGCTGTGTGGTGTTCAGCGCGAGAGGGCAGGCGTGCAGTAGTGCATGCACGTCACGATTGGCCATTGGCAGACACCAGTGCACCCATGTACGTGCGTGGGATGATGTGCATAAAGACAGGTGCGGAAATGCACTCCCCGTCTCCACTCGAGCCGTTGGAGACTTGTGGATCCGCTCAAAAGCCGCCCTTCATTCCATGCATCTTCTTCACGTCGCCTCACTGCTCCGCCCTCACCATCCCACCTCCTCCCTTCGCCCCCCGCCCACGTCCTCTTTTAACCCTATTCGAAGGCCCGTGGCGCACCTTTTTGGAGTAGAACACCTGCTGGGGCCGCTTGTGCGTCCCTGCCGTGTTCACCCAATCAGCAGGTGCCACGTCACCGCTCTCTGCTGCACGGCATGCGACGCTCATCCGTCTGTCCGCCTGCCTGCTGACGTTCCATGCCGTCCGTGAGCACGCGCGTGCGGAGGAACGCTCCCCCGAAGGCGACGAATGCGCGCGCTGTAGGGGGACAGGGAGGCGCCTGGCGGAGACCACGCGGAAACATGGCGCAGGCATGGTGGGATGACGTGGAGATGACGTGGCGCAAGAATATCGCTGAAGTGTCGGGAACGCACGGAGGGCTGTGGCCGGAATCCACGCACCTAAGTGGTGTAGCGAGCTGACGTGGCAAGAACGACGTGGCAAGCTCCGCATATCTCGCGGAGCGCAGACCTCGCGATCCACGCTGCAGCCGCAAGTCACGGGGGGGCTGTAGCCGTGTCAGCCCGCCCATCCCCACAGCAACGCGCGACGGCGTACCAGCGTGAATCGCGGGCGATGGGGCGTGCCGTGACATGCTAAGCCAATGCGGGCTGTTCTATCTAAAGACAGCACGCGGGAAAGGGGGCTGGTCACAGAAACGCAGGCCCTGTTCGACAGGCAACTAACTGAAGTCGCTCGGGTCGCCTGCCTAGGTTCCGAACCCAGGCACGGATCGGAAATGCTGCGCCGGCGTAGTCGCCGGCGACAATCACGCAATTATGCCCCACAACGACCACTGTTCCAGTGTTTTCAACAGTGATTTCTCCTGGGCGATCCACGGTCTGCAAAAAAAAATACCAGCTGCTTTCGTATGGCTGCAGGAAGAAAAAGGGATTTCTCAGGCCGTGAACACTGGTTTTTAGGACGGGCCACATTTGAGACATCTATCCGGTTGGGGATACTGGGGTGTACAGTAATTCGTGATGTTCTGTTTCACTGTTTCGTTAATCTTGGCGAACAGTCAGAGAAGTCACTTAGGGCAATAGGTCTTCTAAGGGCGGGGTGCATCATGCTGTTTTGCAGGGTCGCGATCTCAAGCGATCCTCACCACAGTGTTTTGTCTTTTGCGCACAGTAACACTTGTAGCATTGCTGCACCACGAACTTGGGGGATCGCGAAAACTGCCACCCAACCACCCTCGATCACGCTGGATCTCAAAGCCTGCGATCCCACGCGATCAAGGGTTGGAGGTGCACCTCGTGCACCACCGATCCTTCTCGCGATAAAAATATCGTCGCCGAACAACAAAACGAACCTAGAGCGAGGTAAATACGAAACGGTTACGGAATGGACACTGAAACCAAATGTACATGCGACGCCTTGACCGCGTCTCATTGGTGGTCGGGGTTCGGGACTGCAAAACTGCAGGTGGTGCATCATAGGGGGGTGCCATTGGGTCGCAGGGGACCCCGACCAGATTCCACAGGGTTGCGGTTCTAATATCGCGATCATGCAATTTCATGCAATTTCAGCATGATGCACCCCGCCCTAATATAGATCTTTTAGCGCACTCAAATCAAGCATATTGTGTTGAGAACTTTCAAAAACGTTTCTACCCCGCCTTATAAGGATCCTGAGGACGATCAGGACACATGTGGCTCGGAGAAGATCGATGCCCACATTTCCGCAGACCTCACACCCTCAAAATCTCCTGCACCCCATACTCAGCATCTGCCGCTCCTCCCTTCTCATGACGTCGACATACGTGTACGATCCCCCTCCCTCATGCTAGTTCGCCAAGTCTCCATGGGAACTCCCTCCCCAACGGCCTCCCGCGTGCGTGGAAGTACACCTCCACTTTTCACCTCCCCCCTCTCACCCCACTCGCCCCCGCGTCAACCCCTGACATGTCCCGGGCCGTGGATACGCACGCTCTCCCGTGCGGTGGCCTTCACGTCGTTACCATGTTAACACACCTCCGCATCCTCTGCATCAATGTGAATGGAATCAACGAAACCCGCAAAATGGATGAGCTCAAGTCCTGGCTCTCGCGCCTTCCTGCCCCCACCGACCTGGTCATCCTCATTGACACCCGTCTTATCCTTAGAATCCCCAACCTCGATTTGAAATTTCGGCCCCACGCTTCTGCCCACGCCCCGGCACTGCTCTCGACCGACAATGCTACCGGGCGGCCCACCCTCATTGGTGGAGTCTCCATCCTCTCCTTCAACTGGGCCATCTCGCTTTCCTCCCTGATCCCCTCTGCAGATGGCAGGCTTGTCACGGTACACCTTAACTTTCTCCGTGATCAAATCCGTTTGATTGCCTTATATGCGCCCACACAATTATACGAACGTCGAATCTGGTGGTCCACCACGCTTGTTCCGGCACTGGAAACCCCAACCGCTGCATCCGCGACCATGCTCGCCGGAGACTTTAACTCGGTCACACTTCCTATTGACAGAAACCGTCCTCTGAAGGATTGCGAATGTCGTGAAGGAGCTTCTTTCTCTTAACTCATGGACAATCACTCGATGGTCGATACATTCCGTGAACTCTTCCCCACACCTGCCAACGTCTTCTCCTTCTATGGCAGGTAGCGCCTCAACTCAGTGTCTCCGCCCACATCTTCCCGTCTCGACAGAATCTACATCTCCCGAGCCTTCCTTATCCGTCTTGCTACCAGCCCGTACATACAAACCCGAGAGGCTATTACGGATCACCTGTACGCCCCTCCGTGCTCTCTCTGGTTCATTAACCCCACTGTCGCCCCCCGGCCCTGGCGACTTCGCCAACATCTACTCATGAGACCCCGCGCCGCACACATCATCGACGCCGCCCTCGCTGCCTTCCCCTCCTCCCCTTCCCTGGAATCTTGGGACAGATGGAAGCTGGACCTCACCCTTAACTTCAAAAGATTCTCCAACCTCGAAAGACGGCGTGTCGACGGCACGGTCACGCATCTGGAGCGCACTATTGGCTCCCTACAGTCGCAAGCAGCATACACGCCCTTGAACCAGAACGAATCAGCTCGACTAAGCCAAGCACGGCTCCAACTGGCCAGATACGAAGCCTCGAAAGCCTCCGAGATTGCACTCAAGGCAAAGCTGAAAGTGGAAGGACACAGAGAAATGGGTGTCTCCTCCCTCCTTTCTGGACTCAATTCGCGAATCAAAGGCTCGATCATCAACTCCCTGACCCTACCTAATGGACAGACGACCTCGTACCTGTCCACCATGACCAACATATGCTCTAGCTTCTTCCGGACACTCTACAGCGGGAACAACCCCGTCACCCCCAACCCATCTTTCTGGCAACACATTCCCCCCTCATCCATCCCAAACCCCTTATTCCTTCGACTCAGCGCCCCCCTCTCACTAGCAAAAATCGGAAAAGCACCCCTCTCTCTTTCACGAGGAAAAACCCCTGGCCAAGATGGCCTCCCCGGGGAGCTCTTTCGACAATTTTCCCCGCGTTTCGCACCGGCCTTCCACTCCCTACTCTCACCTCCACAGCCACTCTCCTGCCTCCCTCCATCCATTCTGATCGGACGAACGGTCCTTATCCCCAAGAGGGGGGACTCATCGCTAGTGGAAAATCTTCGCCCCATCACCCTAATGAACGCTGACTACAAGGTACTCGCACTGTGCCTCGCTAACCGCCTCCAGCTCGACCTCCCCCAGCTCATCCATCCATCCCAAACTGCTTTCATCAAACACAGAAAAATAGGAGACACGATTAACGATACCCTTAATATCATGGACTGGGCGGCCTTCTCTTCGTCCCCCCTGCTCGCTCTTACGGTGGACTTTCGCAAAGCCTACGACCTCGTTGATAGGCCTTTCCTCCTCCAAGCCTTATCAGTCCTGGGGCTTTCCGCACCTTTTATCCACTGGGTCCGACTAATGCACTCCGACACGCATACACGCATCTCGGTCAACAACATGCTCGGCCCCACCTTTCCCGTCCGCACTGGTGTTCGACAGGGCTGCCCACTGGCTCCCTTGCTCTTCGTTTGTGTCATGGAGATCTTTCAGCACTACATGTCCCTATTCCTTCCCGGTTTCGCCCTGTCCTCCACACAACGCCGCCTCATGGCGTGCTACGCGGATGACGTCACCCTTTTCCTCACCTCAGACACAGAGCTCGGACATGTTGTAGTGCTGCTTGGCATTTTTGGATCGGTCTCCGGGGAGGTCCCCAACTGGAACAAATGCTCCATAATTCCATTCAATATCCCCCCTGCTGACCTCGTGCACGCAGGGATTATACCCATCTGCGCTCCCAATGAGGCAGAACGCATCCTCGAAATTTACGTCGAGCGTCTACACCCAGGCTCCACCATCTGGAACAAGGCTCTCGCCCGCATACAATGCACCGCCAAGTTCCGGGCAGCCTTACACGCCACAGTTACGTGCCGCAAATCCCTTTCCTCAATCTTTCTGAACTCTGTCATCTCATTTCCCGGACACTTTCAACCCGCCCCACCAGACATAATCAATCGAATGGATGTGTCAGCTGGGAACTTTCTTTCGTCCTCGAAACACAAACAAGACGGCCTCGCACAACGCCTCATTTCCAAAGCCCTCTTGTACAACTCCCCGCAAGACGGCGGGGTCGGGGCGATAACCCCGTCAACACAAATCAAAGCTCTTTCTATTCAGCGCGCCCTCCGCAGATTCGGACCAACCCCCTCTGAGGAAGTAGCACGTACCCTGACCCCGTTCCCTTTCGGGTTACACGGTCTACTCTCCCACGAAGCCATCCTCAAACGACACTATCTCCCAACATTCATCCCCCCTCGTGCGTTGGACGAACTAAAAACCCTCCTCTCCCTTCCCCTGGTCATTCATGGCCCCCCTTTACGAATGCAATGCATCCTCACCGAACCTATCGCTTTCAACCGCGTACTCCTCAAACCCGACAACCGACCTTTTGGCACCAGCCAACACGAACGCTTCCTCCTTACAGGGCAGTTTCGTATCGGACACATTGTCCGGATCACCAACTTTCATGTCGGCCCCATCTCTGTAGAAAAATTCTGCTCCCTAGTCCCGGAGGAATTCCAAGAAGACGCAGCACGCATCCTCCCAGACCTTGTCAAGGCTATTAAACCTCTCTGGTGGGCCGCCCTCCGAACCCCACACGCCTCTTCTGCCTCTCCAGGAGACTGGTTTATGCCTTCGGACGACCACTATTCCATCTCTCATCTCGCCCTCCAAGTTGTCGCCTTCGTTCCCCCCTCCTCCGTCTCGGCTACTGTCCACAATGTCTCGCCAAACAAGCGTATCGCCCGCGACCTAGCTGCCACCGGACTCTTCCGATTACAAGACCTCGTGGAGGTGCACGTCAGGGAGTGGTGGCTCGCAGGGCCACTTCACATAGGGGCAGGGCTAGGAGCTAGGGTAGACCTTCTACAGGACGGCACCCCCAGCATCGCCGACATCCGCCGTCTCCTCTACTCAGCACAACTGCTAACTCATCACCTCCGATGGACCCGCGACCTCACCCTTCCTCCTCCTCCTCTCCCTGGCCTTAAGGACTTATTTCTCAAGGACCAGCCGAGCCGCCAGCGGGACATCATTTTCAGACTTTACACGCTCACCCTCCCCTCAGGGTCACGTTTCCAATACTTTGACGATCGTGGGATCTGTTCTCGTTGCCCAGCTGCTGTCGTCGAGACATTGCCGCATATCTTCTTCGAATGCTCCTCCGCCGGAAATGTCATCTCGGCCCTCCGAACTGTCGCTGACCGCCACCTTGGACAAAACACCACCGCCGAGCACATTTTCTTCCCGATACAGTCACGAGTGGGACAGTCCCCCCCATGGAGCCTACTTGTGGGAGCTGCAGTTAAGACGCTGTGGAATGCACGCAGCGCCCACAGATATCACAACTCCTCCTCGAGCTTTGAGATACTGCAACTGATTTTAGCCCAATTCCTTATCGCCTTCAAGATCTATATGTGGAGAAGCAAACGCCAATCTACAAAGAAGCGACAACGCACACTCTCCAGCATAAAGCGAGCACAGAAACTCCGCTTCCTCCTCTTCGACAGGAGCGGCACACCCTCCATTCACCCCGACCTCAGATTCTCATGGCTCCTGGGCAACCCTTTTCGACCCCCGTAGGCAGCTACCGCATAGAGCGTCTCCCCAGTCTGCTGGCGGTTGTCCGTTAGGACAAAGGAATAACGTGTGTTCCACGTGCTCCTTTAGGATGCTGGCCACCTCGGCCATGTTTCTAGACTGCTCTATGGTATTATTCTTTGTACATTGATTACGATCAATATATAACCTTAACCTTAACCGAACCTCCTTCGGTGTGTACAAATGTATGACATCCTTACTCTGAATATGGGCAGTTTGACGATGGAAAACCGTTCAGGTTCAGGTAGACTATCCATAAATATAGTAGGTAGCTTAGTAGCTTGAGAGATAACATAAATATATAAATATATATATTCACAGGGGGGCTTCTAGACTGTGCTGAGCAGTCTCATTCAGAGAAGAGCGTGGTCTCAAAATACTCCTGCTGAACCACATTAGCCTGCCTCTTATTTAAGGGCCTTTTCCTTCAGAACGAACTTGCGCAAGCCAGGGAAGTGAACATGGCACAGGTAGTGGTTCCAGTTGATGTTACGAACGTTGAAATTGAACTTGTGCTGCTCTTCAGGTGACATTGCAGAGAACAGGTGTTCCATGTTGCTGGAGTCAAACCTGCATGCAGAGGCAAGGCAACACATGAGGTCAGCAAATGCTGTGATTGATTGTGCATGCGTGCTTTTGAGTCGACTCAAAAGAGAACAGGTTTTCCATGTGCTGGAGCCAAATCTGCATGCAGAGGCAACGGTTGGCCAAGAGAAACACAGACTTGCAAAGAGGCAAAACACGAGGTCGACAAATACTGTGATTGTGCATGCGGGGATTGATTGTGCTGTAACAAGGATTATAACTTACAGTGCCTTCCCGAAGCAGTAAGGCATGTACAGCTTAGCTAAGCGCCTGTATTGATTGTGCCTCTTGGTCAGTTTTGCAGCCTGTCGCTGCTTCTGTGCTGGTCCATTTCTAGGGTCAAGTGTCACCAACTGCAACACAATTGTGCAAAGGTAGGAAGATTGAGTGAGGTGAGGAGGGGAAAAAAGGGCCAATACAAAAAAAACCAAGGATGGGCAAGAGGAGACGTTACTCACAAGCCTGGGCAGTTCATACTGAAACCAAATAGCAGCCATGAAGAGCACGGGCCATGGAAAGGCTATCATATGGGACACAGAGATTGCAGTCCCATCCTTCCGCTTCATGGGATTGGCAGCAAAATGCTTGGTGGTGGCAGCAAACAGTTCGTTGAAGCACAGCGGGTTAGCATCCGAAGACGTCACATGGTAGACACGGGGCAGATGGTGCTTGGAAGTGGGTCGAATGGCACTCCGTGGTGGCTTTGCATTGCTGGCAGCAATGGCAAGGATAGCGTTGGCTAGTAGGTCCACTGGAATCTGAATGTGGGAAACAGTCGGGTCGGGACAAACAGAAAGCAGCAGTAGAGAGGGTTTGCTTGCTGCTGCCCACACATGTGGCATGTGGTTCATAGGCAGATCAGACAGAATATAGAGAATCAAGAGGGGAAGAGGAAGTGTAAGACGGGCTAACAATGCAACAGATCTAAAAGAGGGGGCCAGGAGGAGGGGGACGGGGGAAGGTGTTGCGGGGGAGGGGGAGGGGGAAGGAGAAGAAAGGGGGGATAAGAAGGGGAAAAGGTAAGAAATGGCAACAAGATTTGTTAAGAATGCAATAAGCCACGGGGAGGGACGAGCAAGGCGGTGGAAGGGAAGAGGCGAGGCGAGGCGGTGGAAGGGAGGAGGCGAGGCGAGGCGAGGCGGTGGTGTGACTGACAATGTCGCAGATGCCGTGTGGCGGAGCGTGGAAGCCCGGTATCTCCCCCTTGGCAAACGCCATCAGCACTGGATCCGCCACCCTGGTATTGTGGGCCGGTTGTGATTGGCACCACGCAACAGACGAGAGTGGGAAGATTGGGAGGAGTGTGATAAGAGCGTGAGACGGGGAGGCGCAACGGAAGGGAGAAGACAAGTGGGAGTGTTTCAAGTGAAAAGCTTGCTGCTTGCCATGAGAGACATGGCATGTGGCACACACACTGGTGCTTGCACAAGACTTGTGAGGCACCTCAAAAGGCACATAAATGATTGCACAACACCAACACGAAAGGCACAAGTGAGAAGGGCCGGCGCCAAGGAAAGGACGAGAGTGAGTGAGGGGGAAAGGTACAACGGAATGCTTGGGGGAAGTGCCTGACGCAAGCGAGCAGACAGCGCGAGGTGAGGACTGACACACAATGTGGTGGCATGGCATGGGCTCGTGGCATGGGCTCGTGGCATGGGCTCGTGTCATGGGCTCGTGGCATGGCACCCTCACTCACCGAAAGCCTTCGATCCATCCAGGCATGGGCTCGTGTAGTGCACTCTCCACTATGCTGGGCCGCACCACCACCACCGGCACACGCGCTTCTCCCCCAGCCTTCCCCCCCACCTCCCCCTCCCCTTCCGCCCCCTCCTGCTGCTCCACCAGCGCCATCTCCCCCATTGCCTTGCACAGCGTGTACGCATCCTGCCACCCAAAGGTACGCGCCCTGGAGTAGGGGGAGGGGGGAGCAGAGGAGGAAAAGCAGGGACGAAAGCAGGCGGAGAAGGGGAAAGAGGTGCAAGTAAGAGCCGGAAGGTGAGGAGAGAGATGGAGCAGCACGGTATGGAACAGGGACGAGAATGGAAGGGAAGTGAAAGTGTGCAAGGACCAGGCGCACCCAACACTTCCCTCACTGTAAGTCACTCATGAGAATTCTCAAAAGCGCACACACCCCCACCCACCTGTCGGCACCCAGGGCGGACATGTGCGCCTCCACCGCCGCTGCCACTTCCTCTGCACTCGCCCCTCTCGCCTTGGCCCCTGCCTCCACCGCCGCTCGCTCCCTCACCGCCAGTGCGACCTCCTCATCCAGGTCCAGCACAGGGACTTGCGAGGTTGCCGCAGGGGACGTGGCAGCAGCGGCAGCAGCAGTGGTGGCAGCCGTAGCAGCAGCAGCAGCAGCAGCAGCAGCAGCAGCAGCAGCAGCAGCAGCAGCAGCAGGAGCAGCAGCAGCAGCAGCAGCAGCAGGAGCAGCAGCAGCAGCAGCAGCAGGAGCAGCAGCAGCAGCAGCAGCAGCAGCAAAATCAGCAGCTGCAGCAGAAGAAGCAGCAGCAGCAGCAGGGGAAGTAGCAGCAACAGCAGCAGCAACAGCAGCAGCAGCAGCAGCAGCGACAGCAGTGGTGGCGGAGGGGGTGGGAGAGCAGGCGAGCATCTCAGCAGCAATGCTGTCGCCCGGAGAGAAGGGGCGCTCCATGCATCTCCCCTCGCGCTGCCCGTTCACATAGGCTGCGAGGGGAATTAAAGGAGGGCGAGAGGGAGAGGAGAGAGAGGGCGGGCGGTACTTGTGGCAGTGTGCAACAATGTTACAGTGACATACACACTGACACTGCATGACACCGATTCAGTCAGAGATGCACATGCGAGCCAGAGAGGTACATGTGAGCCGGTCGGAGATGCAGATGCGAATGCAAATGCGGCTCACCAGTGGACACGTGCACCAGCAATTGAAGCCTCCGGCACTTCTTGGCGAAGGCTAGCACCCGCCGCGGGCCCATGGTGTTGATATTGAGTGCCACGTCATACCTGACAGGCAGAAGGACACGTGGCAGGTTGAACAGGACACGTGGCAGGTCGAACAGGACACGTGGCAGGATCAAGAGGACAGCAAATTTACAGGGCATTGGGATGCGACACTCCTGACGCGACATGATGCAACACATGGTTTGGATGATCAACATACATTTTCCGGATGATAGCAGCTCATCACCCAACCCATCAGAGATCGCGCGCTCACTGACAAGTCAATGGCCTTCCAACAAGCTTTTGGGTCGAGTCGACGCAGCAGTCATCTGGTTTACACGCGCAGCTGTCAACATGCAGAATCAAGGCTGTATTCAACGCGCAGCCTTGAAACGAGCTTCCATTGAATGGGATGCAGATGCACATGCATATGCGCGGCACATACATACTCGGCTTCAAAGTCAACGGTGGCGGCGAAGTTGAAGATCAGATCGACCGAGTCATGCAGAGCAGCAGCGGCGTGGGCAGGCAGTCCCAGCCCGTCCTCCCCCACGTTGCCCTGCACGGCCGTCAGCTTGCCCGCCATGAACGCCCCGTACCCCTCCCCATGCCGCTCGCGCAGCAGCGAGAACACGGGCGACGGGACGACCTGGGTAGGGGGAATGCAGGAGGAGAGGGAGGGATATGTTGTGTGCTGCCGCCGCAGATGCGGGAAACAGGGGCGAGGGAATGGGCTCTAGTTGTGGGGGCGCGGGGGTAGGGAACAGCAAGGCGGGAACAGCAACCAACCTGAGAGCACGGCAAGCAGCAAGCAGCGCACGCACCTGTTGCGTGAGGCGATGCGCTGCGGTGGCGCGGGCTGTGGGTTGGATGAGAAGATACAGCTGCCCCACGCGCGGCTGCTCGCGCAGTATCTTCTCCACCAACACTGCCGGGGGGAAGGGAAGACGTGGGGAGAGAAGGGGGGGAAAGAGAAAAGAGGTTCCAAGGACCGAAACGGAGTATCGTGTGGACACCTACCACGAACAAGCACCCCAATGAAGCCCGTGACCACACCGTGACCACCAGAAGCCGCACCTTTCCCAATGAAGCCCGTCGCGCCCGTGATGAGCACGTGCTTTCCCTCTAGGAACGGCAGGATGCCCACCCCGCACGCCTGCCCCTCCTCCTGCTGCTGCTGCCGCGGCACGTCCTGCTGCTGGAGCACCTTTTGGGACGTCTCAAAAAGCACCTCCTGCTCGAGCACCGCAGTCGCCCCCGCGGATGTGGCAGCAGCAGCAGCAGCAGTGCTATCTCTATCGAAGCTCTTGGTGCGCGCGCGACATTCAAGTCCGCGAAGTGGCGAAGAATCAGGCCCTGTTACTAGAGAATACACTGGCGAGGACTGAACACGTGGCCCCTGGTATTTCCCAGACCAGCTTGGATTCCCCCCCACCTTTCGGAGGTAGCCCGAGAGCTTTCTTGCTCCAGAAGGCTCGCCTTGCTGGATCATCATCGCAGTCGCCCCAGCGGTTGTGGCAGCAGCCGCAGCCGCAGCAGCAGAAGCAGGCGCAGCAGGAGCGAGGGTGGTAGACGCCATTGTAAGAGCAGAAGCCAGTAAGGCGGCTGCACAATCTGCGACAAGAGGGGCCAAACAGCACGATGCACGGTACCGGCGCTTCCTCAGGAAGGAGGCTATGGCTTGGGCCCTGCCGTGCTGCTGCTAGCAGTACTTGGAGGATCCTCGGAGGTTGGACGGAAGGCTCTCCTAGGAACTCAGTCAGGCTGAGCGTGGAATATATCCCACGATTTTTCGCCATCGCCGTCGACTGCCAGTCGCACGGCCTCGGGCGACTCCACGGCCTCTGGCGACTGGCATGGCCTGGGCGACTCTCCGAGTCTAGCTTTCTGGGCGAGTGACAGCCCCTGTGACCCAGTGGTGCGGAGCCGTTGAGTCCCATGTCGCGCAGGACATGCCAGCCTGGCAACAACATGCCATCATCCCAAAAAATCGAGCTTTTCAAACGGGTTTTTAGTTACTGCGGAAGAAAGACTTTCGAACCTGCGCTTTGTAGGTACCTTCGTCACTACCTGCACACAGTTTCCAAGGTTTCACGGCCCAGACAGAAGACTTTAACCACGTGTCACCTCGGAAGCCGTCTCTGTTGCTACGCAGGCAAAAGGTGCGCGACAATGTTTTGTTTTTTTTATCCGCACTAATCTAGATCCCTCTCGGCTGGCAAATGATAAGGGGCATCAACCCTAAACACCTTGCGACTAAGTTTTTAGGGTTGATGCCAAAACTAAATCCCTCTTGGCTGGCATGTGAATGAAGGGCATCAACCCTAAACACCTTGTCACGTGGTATTTAGGGGTGATGCCCTTGAAAGCTTGCCATCCGAGAGAGTTTAGTTTTGTGCTTGCTGGAAGAAGACAGCCGATGAAAACAGTGCTTGCGTGATGTACGGAGAAGCCGAATTCTGTCTTAGCACAAAAAACTCTTCCGTCTCAGAAGTGGATAAGAAGAAAGTGTGCGCAAGTTGAGATAAAAGTGCCTCAAAATAAAAAAAGCTACATTAGGCCTACCAAGAAAACTAGACACTCTTTACAAACTTGCAGCAAAGCAGGTTTGAAGGAGCTCTGTGAAGTGTACCGCCAGTTGGTTTGAACTGACCTACCCCTGGCAAACCTGCACTGAAGCTGCTTTTCGGCTCGGGACACATCGGGGAAATTTGGCGACGAATCTGTGCCGCACATCTCAAGAAGTTAAAGCTACTTTAGCGTAACTCTGAATGCGGCCCAGTTCGGCGGCCAGGGGAAAAAAATGTTGGGAAGATGTGTGGAAGGTAAGGCGGGCGTCAACCCAGGGTCAACATTCGTTACCCTGAATTCCGCGAATTGCGGATAACCTGCGCCATCTGCGAGCTGGCGGAGGGAGGAGGGGGGAGGTATGAAAAATCGCCGCAGGAGAGAGGCACATTTTGCCTCAAATTCGCGTCATCCTTTGCACTGTAGCGGCAACAAAAGGGTTCGCCGAGAAGGAAAAAAACATTTGTATGGAGTAGCACTTTCCTTCGTAGGGTGCAATGCTGTCCCGTGAACAGTGAACCCAGGTGGAATCGAAAAGTTTGTTCTTGTTTTGTGAGAGAATCACTAACTTCTTCTGTCTCACTAGGGCGGAAGCTTTCCGCCAAGGGGGGAGAATAATGACAGAAGACGGCGCGGAATCAAATTTTGGAAGTGATCGCGTCGCTGCTGATAAACACCTGCGCTTCGATCTCCAAAATGTTAACCCTACAACCCGCACTGTACAGCCCTCGATAATGCGAATAGAAGCTTCATAGTAGATGAGCGAAACAAAAATTTACGTACTTCTTCCGTGGCTGCCGAACTGCGTCATTTCACTTCGATATCAAAAAGGAAATCTAATCTGTGCCGCACATCTCCGCACTCTCGAAACTACTTCAGCGTAACTATCAATATGAATTCGGGAAAAGATCATATTAGGGCCGAACAGTGCCAGAGGGGTGATCTAAGTAGGGCCTAAAAATCTCGACCGTAGGATTTCAACCCGGAGCTGACCAAACGACTCGACGAACAATCCGAACCATGAGGAAACGAAAATTACTAAAAACAAACTGATTTTTTTTCTCATTTTCTGTATTGAGGGTTTTGACCGCCGTCTACTACAACGCGCGCGTCGCCTTCTTCTGGAATTATATTTTGGTGTGTCAAATCGTGAGTACGTAACAAAACTTAATATATTCTGGAACACGAAGCATGAACTGTAATTGTGCAAGTAGACGTCGAGGTCTGGAACGATGAACCACAGTCAGACAAGCTGAGTTTTTTTTTTTTTTTTTTTTTTAGCTGACAGGATTGCCGTGCTGCCCTGTCAAATACATATTTGTCAGTGCAATTGTGAGGGAGGGAAATCTAGCAATCTCATGAAGCCTCAGTGTGTCTGAAAAAGAAAGGGAATGGAGAAAGAAAGGGAGAAGGAAAATGAAACTCCCAAAAAAATCCAAATGCAACACACATAAAACCCCCCCTCAAGATACCCAATCAAAACGCCCAGTCAAGACACCCCATCAAAACATCCCATCCCACGCCCCATCCCGCCCCCCCCCCCCCCCCCCAAATCACATCAACGTATCGACCATGTACGGGGCCTCCACCCAGAGAGCCCCGCCTTCCACATCGACATCATCCCCCTCCCGGTCCGCCAAATCTACGTTAATCCCCCCCATGGAAGACGCCGCTCGAAGCAGGATGACACGGGCTTGCGCACGTTGTAACGCCACCCCGATGAGCGCCTTCAGTGACCCTAAAAGATAAGCCGAAAACACAGAGTCGTCCTCTCGACAAGCCCCCCGCGACACAGCTAGCCCCACGTGCGCATCCCCCTGCTGACGAAGCCACCGCTGAAAACGACCGCCGAGACACCCCCACGTCTCAACTATCAATGGGGTGAACTACACGCCCCGATTGCGTGCAAGCAGAGGCGCGTTATCACTCGTTTTGCAACGCTCCCATTCCCTTGCCGCCGCACCTATTTGACGCCCGCACTGTCCCAGCAGTGATGGAGACAGCGATAGCGGGTCCGCGACGCTGATCTCTAGGTCGTGAGCCTCTCCAGCCATTGGACGTCGCACCGCCACATCAACCCGCTTCCCTTGCAGCACCACACTATCCTCTAATGTCACCACCCCCCCCGACGCCTTAGAGATCTTCGCCACCGCAAACTTCACCTCATCATGCACCCGAGAAGGACCATGCTGGTGCCTGCATCTCAGGGCATGGTTCGGGCCTGCTGGGTCAACATACGCTGTGCCACAAACATACCTCCCTGTCAGAATGTTATCTTTGTTCTCTAGCCTGCAGTGGGGTACTCTATAGCGAGTACAACCCCTTAGGGTTTCCTATATGTATCTTGCTGCTTGCTAGTGCAACACCTCTTCTTTCATTCTTTCTTCTAAACTTTCACATGCTATCAGAGCAGGTCGATCCCCTTGGATCGATCCTGTGGGTGGGCTTACCACCTCCTTGCTTCCGCTACAACTGCTACCACTACTCTCGGTGCCGCACGCCCCGTGGCGTGTGGCAGTTTTTCTTCCCGCTGTGCGCCCCGAGGCGCGCGGCGGTTTTCTGCCAGCCGTGCGCACCGAGGCGCGCGGCGGTTCTCTGCCAGCTGTGCGCCCCGAGGCGCGCGGCGGGCTTCTGCCCCGTCATTCGGCGTGTCGCCCTCGGGAGGCGCCGCGACGGGCGACGGGTACCCGCGCGTCGCACCCTGTCGCCCGTCGTGGCCTGCGCGCGGCCCGTACAGGCAGCGCGCGGCCCGTACAGGCAGCGCGCGGCCCGTACGGGCTGCGCCAGGCCTACGCGCGGCTCGTACGGGCTGCGCCAGGCCCGCGCGCGGCCCGTACGGGCTGCGCCAGGCCCGCGCGCGGCCCGTATGGGCGGCGCCATGCCCGCGCGCGGCTTGGGTGACTGTACCAGGCCCGTGGTGGGCCCGTTTCTTGCTGCCCCTGCCCTCCCCGCTGTCCCCCAGTGCTTCTACTAGCGCCCCACCCCTCCTACTCCCCATTCTCCTGAATTAGGGTTTGGGGTGAGGGGTATGGGGGTGAACAAACTGTGTACCGTTCCTTGCTCCTCCTCCTCCGTCTCCCTGTGCTGCCGCTGAGGGGGGGTGGACTTGTTGGAGCCGGTGGAGTGGTACTAAGGGGGGGTGAAGGGGGAGTGGAGCTAGGGGTGTAGCAGTGGGTGTGTGAGAGGGGCGTTGGGCAGCTGGGGGAGGTTGAGTGGAGGCAGCAGTCTTGTCGTCAGCATCAGCAGCAGTCCGGAGGCTACAATCTCCGGTAGTCGCCAGTCGCCCGTGGGTCCGTTGCTCGTCTGCCGCTACTTTTAGCCGCGGGGCCAGTTACTCCGGTAGTCCGGAGCGCTGTTCCGGTAACCACTGAGCCAACAGCTCGTGTGTGTGTCTGCAGCGTCAACAGTCGCCTCCCATCTTCTCTCCCCCATAGTCCCTCCTTCTCCACAGATGCCCTCTGCGGTAGCCTCTAGCTTTGCTCATAATTGTGAACTTTAAACTATTGCTTCTTGAACTTGTGCTCAGAATGTGTGGTGACATTGTGATCCACCCTGAGCTTGTACTGCTTTGCTTGCTCTGCTGATTACACTCCACTTTGGCTATGGGGGTGTGTCAGAATGTTATCTTTGTTCTCTAGCCTGCAGTGGGGTACTCTATAGCGAGTACAACCCCTTAGGGTTTTTTATATGTATCTTGCTGCTTGCTAGTGCAACACCTCTTCTTTCATTCTTTCTTCTAAACTTTCACACTCCCCGCCACCTGCAGCTGCTGAATTGGGAGGCCGAGCCGTATAGCAGCCGCAATGCCCCACTCAGCCGTAGTGAATGTGAGATCTGAGTGAGCCGGAACCGCCGAAACCCATGCACCTGCCCCCGGGCCCTAAAGGGATGTGAAATGGGCCAAGGTAGCATCGTCACGAGCCAAGC